AGACATGACAGAATTAGGAATGAGTGTATTCAGGAATCGATAGGAGTAGCACCGATAGAAGATAAGTTGAGAGAGAATCGACTGAGATGGTTTGGTCATAATCAACGGAGACCAACAAAGGTAGTAGTGAAGAGATGTGATACTGTAACGGTAAATGAAAGTGTTAGAGGACAGGGTAGGCCTAGATTAACGTTGGTTAGCGTTATAAATAGAGATATGGATCTACTTAATTTGACTAACGAAATGACCTTTAATAGGGTCACGTGGAGAAGAAGGATTCATGTAGCCGACCCCATTTGATGGAATTTAAGGCTTGGTTTAGTTTGGTTTAGGTAGCAAAATATGAGATTATTAGGCAAAGATTGATATTATGCATCATAGTAGGTGTGCTCTGCATTTAACTTCCATTAATGAAACAATAATATCTAATCCAGAGCCAATAGTATGCTCAGTATTGAACTATGACTTCTTAAGGGAAATAAATAATTATTGCACACACATAATATTCCAAGTGTTCACATAAGCTTTAAGAGCCAGCACATTACGGCCTTGTACGATCCCAGGATTCATGAGTGTGTTTGAGAATTAGCCCAAATCTCATAGGTAGCGGCCCCACTACCACACTCACATAGGTGAATTTTGTCAAGGGTGCGCCTGTAACTATGACACCCCACTTAATAAGAGCTACATAAATTTATTAAGAGTTTTTTTTTTAATAGCTCAACCTCTATAACGTTACAAGATAAATGCACTTACATCATAGAGATGGGTAAAAAGTAATTTAATGCTTTTTTCACGGCCATCATATGATTGTTCTTCTCATTGAACCCAATTATAAGATCTCTGGTCCATTGGTTGAGTATCCTCATACATGGCTCTTGCTATATTCAATGGCTTCAACCCCATTCCCTTCGATGTATTCCAGACTCTATCTCTTGCTAAGGCTTTTAGTTAATGGATCTGCAAGATTATCACCAGATTTAATATAATCCACATTTATGATGTCATTATTCATATAAGATCTCTCAATACTATGCTTTCTTCTGATAGGTCTGGATTTACCGTTATGATAACGATTATTAACCTAACCAATTGCTGCGGTGCTATCACAATGAATCAATAAAAGTGGAATCGGTTTTTCCCGACAAGAGATTTCATTTAACAAATCTTTCAACCAATTTGCTTCTTCTCACTAGCCGTAGCTAAAGCAATAAGCTCAGCTTCCATTGTTGAATTAGCAATAGTGGTTTGTTTTTTCGATTTTCAACTTATAGCACCACCTCCCAAGGTAAATAAGTAACCAGTGGTTGATAATGAATCACCTAACAAGGTATTCCAATCGGCATCACTGTAACCTTTAAGTACTGCAGGATACTTATTATAAAACAAGTCATATTTTATGGTACCAAATAAATATTTCATAATCCGCTCAATAGCTAGTCAGTAATCACTGCCAGGCTTGATAGTAAACCTGCTAAGTACTTTAACTGCATAGATAATGTCAGGTCTAGTACAGTCAGTCGCATAACGCAAACTACCAATCATACTAGCATATTCCTTTTGATTAATTACATCATCATCATTTTCAACAGGAAACAAATGCACATGAGGATCAAAAGGAGTAAGAACATGCTTGCACTTATAAAAATTATATTTTCTCAATTTTTTCTCAACATAATGCGACTGATCAAGAAATATACCATTACAGGTTTTAGTAATTTTCATTCTTAAAACATAATTAGCCTCACCAAGATCTTTCATATCAAAATGGCTACTAAGCATATTTTTAGTTTCCACGATGATATGCAAATTAGAACCAAATATAAATAAATCATCCACATAGAGGCTAATAATGACATGTGAATTTCCTTCAGATTTATAGTAGATGCATTTATCACATTCATTAGTTTTATAGCCATTCTTAATCATGCAGGAATCAAATTTCTCATGCCACTGTTTGCGGGGCTGTTTTAAGTCATATAGAGATTTAACTAGCTTGCATACTTTGCTTTCTTGACCGGATTCTACAAAACCCTCAGGTTGCACTGCAAGAATTAACACTTTTGGCAACAAAAAAATTGGTCGCTAAAAGTCAATTTTTGGTCAGCAAAAGTTATCCGCGACCAATTTTTTTGGTCGCTACTTTGGTCGCCAATTGAGGGTCGGCAAAAGTAATTTGCGACCAAAATTTTGGTTGGTTGGCAAAAGTTGGATTTGCCGACTAAATTTTTGGTCGCTAAATATTTGATTACCGCAACTAATTCATTTTGTCGCTAAAACACTTTGGTTGCGAAAAGTGATATTTTCCCGACCAAAAAGTTTGGTCGCCAATTATCACATTCAACGACCAAAAATTTTGGTCGCCAATCGTGACATTTCGCGACCAAAAATTTTTGGTCGCCAATTGTGACATTCCGCGACCAAAAAAGGTTTTGGTCGCCATTTATTACTTTTCGCGACCAAAACTTTTGGTCGGCAAAAGCGAGTTTTCACGACCAAGAGTTGTTTTGGTTGGCAATAGATGTATTTTTTGCAACCAAAACTCTTGGCCGGCAATTGTAATTTTTTGCGAAAAAAAATTATTTATTTGTCACGACTAATAAATTGGTCGCCAAAGCAGGAAAATAATACACCTGTAATTCCTAATAATTCATCCAATCCATAATAAATCTATAATTTTAAAGTATCATTCAAATTAACTGAATCATTAACATTTAACACAATACATAATTCATTAACATTCGACACAATACAACTCTTTCTTGGATACATAATTCATTAACATTCATTAACATTTGACACAATACAAAGTAAAGCTAGCTAGTACCATTAACATATTTAGGGGTCACCAACATACATATATAAAATTCCTGTTTTGCACTCTCAGCTCTTTCTTGGATGCCAAACAATCAGTATATCAACCCACTTAGAACAGCAAAGCCCTCTCATGATAGACCTAAAAATAAAGACAAGTCATAGTAATATATCTAAGAACATTTCTAATGAGCTTAAAAAAAAAAAAAAGCAAACCCTTTACATGTTGAAACTTTAAATTGAAACCAGGTTTATCCATGAGTAGAGTCATCGAGTGCAGGGGTGGGAGTAGCCAGGGCCAGCCAGGTCCCCACTCTTTTTGGCAAGCACGTGGTGGAGGTGGCGGAGGTGGAGGAGCTTTCCCCCTTTCTCTTGCTGTTGCTGATTTGATTCTGTCCGCTTCCCACTGCTTTTACCTCTCACAACCTCCCATGGATGACCCATCTCACCCTCAACCTTGGAAGGTGTCAACTGTGTACATAAACAAAATGAAAGCCACAGCATTTTGATTCTGTCCGGTTCCCATTGCTTTTACCTCCTACATATTGCCTCTTTGGAGCAAGCGATCCATATTGCCTCATAAACACTTCAACATTTTGATCATCGTCCCTGTCCTTTTTCCAGAAGGCCACCGCTTTAATTGATGCTATGCACCATCTTCTACGGCAGTAGATTTTTATGATTAGGAAAATGCTCATCCCAGGCAAACTGAGTGAGAAGGTTGCATTTAAACAGAGAGCTTATTAACAGTTAAAATTGTACCTCTAAATCTTCTCAAGGATAAACAGAGAATTTATGCCCAATTACAGTTCTCTTCCAAACAGTTTTTGGGGCAAAATGTTAAATATTTAGCTTTGTTTAGTCCAAATTCTGAGCAACATATATGTATATATATCCTATGAATATCTTTTGATTGTGTTTGGATCATGAATTTGAGTAGGAGTTTGCAGAGGGAAAGAAAAAGAGGAGAAATGTGAAAAAAGTTAGCTCATATTTCATTCACTTCACTGTTCCTTGCGATTTGCAAACCCCTTCCTGAATCCATGATCTAAACCCAGCCTTAATCAATATGATAGGAGTAAGAGTCTAGAGTTTGTGTTGGTTTCATATTACCTATACCAATTTTCAACCAAATCTGGAGCCCTTTAGTTGATCCTGTTAAAAAAAAAAAAACATAAAGTAAAACTTTGTGGCTGGCAAGTTCATATTGCAAAGTTAGAAAAATAGATGGAGTGATGGAGAAGTGATTTGGAACAAGAGGACAGAGGAGAGTGGGATAGAGAATCTGGTTCCCTATCATGTTACTTCTTAGATGCAAAACATACATTTATTAGAAAGCCAGCACCTTAATTTTAAGGCTGGTAAAAACTTTATGGAGAAATAAACTTTAATCTCTCTGAGATATCGTGAGGTGTATTGTATGTTTTATTGTGCACTCAGATTTAAGCTTTTAATAGAAAGTGGCATAATAAGAAAATACAGACAGTGATTTAATCAAATTTTACTGAACAAGTTCCATTATAAATATGTGCAAGGCCAAAAATATTAGCAAATTAACAACATGAATTTCTAAAAAGGAAAATTTCAAGAAAATTGAAGACTTTAAGAAAGAAAACTTCTATGAAAAAGCTTGTTGAAGGCGAATTATGGTCCCAAAAAAGAACCAATAAAATTGCACATACCATTCTGAGTTGCAGAGCATGAGGATGCATAAGCTTTATCTGAGCAAAAACAAGTAAATGAGCTTGAACCCGATTCATACCCACATTGCCCACCCGATGTGACACATTGACTGCACAGATCACTATTTGCAGACCACTGCAACCCAAAACCACCATCAAGAGCTGCCTTTAGACTTGTTGAAGAAGATGAATTACCCTCCAGAGCCTGAGCTGCAGATTGAAAGACTGGAACTATGACACTTGAAAAACAACTTATCGTACTTTTGGAGAATAGTGTGCTTCTAGTCAGATAAAAATTTCTGTCATCAATCCCATTAACACTGCAGTTGAATTGCCCAGAACTGCCCAGTTGTAGAACTGGAATTTGACTGCAGTCGAAAAACAGAGTCAGATTCTGTGCGTTGGAAGCCCGGATGACCACAGTAGTCTGGTCTGTTGCCTCCCCATAAAGGATAATCAATGTTCTGCATGTTTGCACACTGGAAGGTTTTGCTGCACTTTAGAAATTGTTCGTCAGTGGCATGCACGGATAATGGAATATGGATTAAGATGAAGATCAGTGTGATCAAGAAGAACAGAGAGGAGGATGGAGATGGATGGAGATGCATTTTGACTTCAGAGAGAGAGAGAGAGAGAGAGAGAGAGATGCTTATCTAACAGAGAGAGAGAGAGATGGAGACTAATGAGTATTACAACAAAGTGAAATGGGACTGAAGTTTTTTTAAAGAAGGGAAAGAAAGGAGAAGTTTCACCATAAATAATCTAATATTATTAGCTATGACTTTAATTGCACTCAAATAAGAAAAATAAAATAAGATTGAAAATTTTGACAACAAAAGATTCTTAGCCAATTGATATGATCAGCTTTGCAACTGTTAAAGTGCTAGGTAAATTGTAGATGCATTTAACTGACACTTGAACATGTAGATATATTATAAAATTAAATAAACCAATGGTCGTCGCAACAAACTCCATCTTTTATGAATCTGATGAAACACCAATATTGTTGACTAGAGTTTATAAACCTGGTGATTATTTCAGTATTTGCATACTGCTGCTAGAAAAGAATAAAATTCCATGCCATTTCTAAAAGCAAATATATTTAATAATAAAATAAAATAAAATAAACCTATGTTTGTGGTCAGATGATGATGTTTTAGAAACTTCTGACACAATAATTAGCAGCACATCAATTCAAAGATGTAGCGGTATGGTATCCCACCAGAGAATGAGCTCCCAGAACCATAGAAGTAACCGATTCAATATACACACATCAACAATTCTGCTTTAACCATACATTTATGGAAAAACATCATCACTGAAAAGAAAATTTTCATATTCAGATGAGGATGTTGATATAACAAGGAGTGAAGAAGAGAAACCAAAAAAAAAAAGAAAAAAAAAAGGAATATTCCCTTATTTTCCCAATTTACCTTCTGAACACACAAGTAACATCAATGATCTGTTCTATGAAACAAACTCAATATTAATCTGGAATTAAAGTTGATGCATTGATACTGAAGAAACACTACCAATTGAATAAATTACCTTTTCAAGTGGGATTAAATCATCGTCACTACCAATTAAATCATCGTCCTTGATGATTGATACTGAAGAAACACTACCAATTGAATAAATCATCGTCCCCACTCCTCTTGATCAAAATGTCGAAGTGTTTATGAGGCAATATGTGGCAAAGATTTAAATCTCATGTCATATGACCCACACCTCAAAATGAATTTGATCTACATATTTTAAATTCAAAAAATTTAATGTGTCAGCAACCTTACTGCAACTATTTAAGAAAGCACTCAACTAATAGATGAAATTCAATGCACTAATCTGTCAAGTGTTAGAAAATACAAAAACAAATCTGCTTTCAGATAAAAACATGAATAGGCAAATGGATAAAAAATAAAAGCATGAACAATTTTACCATCTTGTTGCCAAAAGTAGAACCTCAGACCTTGCAGTTATCAGATTACCAAAAAATATTTTCAAAGGGAAAGTCATAGTAAGGTCAACGTTCCCTTCTATTATCAAACTTCATTACACAAAACTAACTGATTCAATCAAAATGAATTCTTGTTTGTTCTGACTACAGTGTTATGGATGACCTGACAACTCTATTTCACATCAGCTAATCTAGTAGCTAGTCAAACTTCATTACACTTATTTAGATTACACTACTAGAATGTAAAATACTTCAATGCACCCATTCCAAAATATGAATCGCCAGGGTTAGTGTTTTCTGGTAACATTGTGCTAATCCAATTGGAAAATGATTGTTGAGCAAAAGCTTAATTATCAACTCAATCAAATCCCAAAAGCACATAGTGAATTCACAATTTTACTGTTGCCACAACACATAAATAAATACTAATCAAACAAATAACTGCAAAAAACCAAAGAAATAAACGAAACCCTAAACCCTAATTTCATGAAATTAAAGCAAATACCTGAGACCCAGCAAGCTCCTCAAACTGCTTAACCTAATCCTCCATCATTGGATCCTTTCCGAAATCGTCTGCAAGGGGTTTCGAGCCCGTGACAGACTCGAGTCCCCTGACAGCCTCCCTAGTCTGCTCTCTAAGCTTATCAAGAGCTTCCGAAACACGAGATTCTTTGGAAACCTTTTGCTTGCCCTTTTTCTTACTTCTCAAGTCAGGCAAACCCATACCCAAGCCTTGAACCTCACTACTAGGCATAATACAACTCTCATGGTTCTTCATTTCGCCATCTCCACTCTTGAAATCAAAGGGCAAAGCTATCAACATATTTATATATACGTATACGTATATGTATATATATATGTATATGTATATGTATATGTATATGTATATGTATATGAGGAGAGAGAGAGAGAGTAATACCTTTGAGTTTGAACAGAAGAAGTAAGATTGGAGATTTTGGAAATCATCCAAAGCGCCTGAAATGATTCAATGATGACTAGAACTCATGTAAATACATACATATACATGTATATACATATACATAGAGAGAGAGAGAGAGAAAGAGAGAGAGATTGAATTTCTTACTATCGAGGAGCTGGTCTAAAACAGAGTGTTCCGCCATTAGCTTACAATCTCTCTCTCTCTCTCTGCCTCTCTATTATCTATCTCTCTGTTCTTCTGTGTATGTATAAGTTGATTGAAGATCCAAGAGAGACTCCGAATGATTGATTCAATGTGCCTAGGGTTCGAATCAAACGCAAAGACGAGAGAGAGAGAGTGGTTCGATGTTGTTTGTTCGCTTGTCTCGCACCTATTTCAAAGAGAGATGAGAGAGGAGAAAATAAGAAAGTGTGAGCTAACAGATTCTAAAGATAAAAAATTTCAATTCCCGCCCCACCTTTCAAAATTCCCTCCCAAATTTTTGGCGACCAAAATACCAGATTAATCGCAGAAAATGTACCCTTTGCCAACAAATTTTTTTAGTTGCCAAATCTCAATCAACGGCGACTAAAATATTAGTCGCTAAAAGTGCTAATTTGGCGACTAATTTTTTTTGGTTGCTGAAAATAAGTTTTTGGCGACCAAAATTTTGGTCGCCAAAAAAAATGTGACCTTTCGCGACCAAATTTACAGTTGGTCGGCAAAAGCATACCACTTTCTGCGACCAACTTATTTTTTGGTCGCTAAAATATATTCTTCTGCGACCAATAATATTTGGTCACCAAAAATAATGATCATTCGCGACTAATTAATATTTGGTCGCCAAATGTCATTTTTTTGTGACCAAAATTTTTTTGGTCGGCAAAAGTGGTCGCCAAATGTGTAAATCCTTGTAGTGTTGATATAGATTTCTTCATCCAAGTCTCCATTTAAAAGACTGTTTTAACATCTATTTGATGAATTTTTAGATCATGAATTGAAGCCACTGCAATTAATAATCTAATGGATGTAACTCTAGTAACCGGAGAAAATGTATCCAAAAAAGTCAAGATCTGCTTGTTGTTTAAAACTTTTTGCAACAAGCCTTACTTTATATTTATCAATAGTTCCATCCAGTTTAATTTTTTTCCTCAAAATCCATTTACAGCCAATAGTTTTACAACCTGGTGATAAATCTACTAATACCTATGTAACACCCCGTATTTTAAAGCATTAATATTTAGTGAGTAGTATTGGTGGTTTATTATAATAATTTAGTGGTGAGTTTTTAGATAAGAATCTAATTTTAAATTATTTATTTGTGTTTATCTCATCTCTTTTATATCAGTCATATTGTTATTTATTCTCATTTAATAATAAATCATTTTTCCTACCATTCCCCACCCCATCACGTGAAAAAAGAAATAATAATAATAATAATAAATAAATAAATAAAACAACAACAAAACAACAAACCGTGGGCAACCCACAGTTTCTTGATTTGCCACCCCAAACCCACCATTCCATCTTTCATCTTTTCATTTACTTTAATTTTTTAATCTTCTCTCTCTTCTTTATTTCCTTTATAAACAAACAGAGTAAGGGGGGCTCCTCACATTCCCTTCTTCTTCTTTTTCATTCATTCTCTGCATCTACTCTCCTCTTCTCATAAATTATGTAGAGTAGAAATAATAAGATTAGATATGCGCGTATTTTGAGTGAAAATGAGTATTTTATAAAATAAATAAATAAATTGAGAGTTGTAGATTTTATTAAATTATACATACTTTATGTCTTAGAAGTTTGATCAAAGCTATTTTTGGAGATCCATGGAGCAATTTCAGATTTATGGTGACGGAGTTAATTATTTTGAGGTAAATTTGGGTTGTATACAATATGCTCTATTTAAATCTCTTTGCAAAGAGTTCTCTATTTTTAATTATCCTCAATTTGTAATCCACTTGATTATTGTGGTTATTAATAGATTTTGTAAAATCATTTGTTGTCGAATCGTTGATATTCTGATCATTTGGTAAAATTCTTTACAAATATTCTTGTGTTAAAATGGTGATTTGTCTGATTGAATGATATGGAAATACTCCGTATATGGATCGAGTGAATTTTGTTAATTTGTTCACACCAATATGCCCGGATAAGCGTGGAGCTTGGGTGAGGTGGGTGAATAAATGAATTTATTCACTGGTCATGTACTGAGTAGGACTTAGTATTTGGTCGTAGATAAATTATGGTTGATTTGTTGTGCAATTGCTTGATTATCTTAACGTTGATTTAATGTCATAAATTGTTGGATTCTTGTTAATTTATTCTGTAACTGAGCCTTGTATTCCTGTCGTATTGTATACTTCCCGAATTAATTTATTTTTCAGGTGCGAAGCAAATTTTAGCAGAGATCAAAATTAAGATTAGAAAGATTTATTAATAAAGAGATTTGGGGCCCACCATTGTAATTATTAAATTTAGAGATAGTTGTAATATTTTTTATTTCAGAGATAAATGTACTATAGAATATTTTGGAGAATACGGTACAATTTGGAGACAATTTTGTAGTTATTATTTTTGGGAGCAAAACTTATATATATATTTTTAGGCTATTTTAGTGTATTTAACGATCCGGAAGTGAGGCGTTACAACCTAAGTTTTATTGGATAATAATGATTCCATCTCATCATTTACAATCTCGTTCCAAAATACAAGTCAGGAGATGCCAAAGCTTCTTGTAAAGTTAATAGAGTTTTCTACACATTAAAAACATGATAATCAAGGCCAAAATCATTTTCTAATCTGGCTCTTTACTTTTTCTAGGTTCAAAAAGTACAGTGTCTTGGTTTTGTGAAAGAGGAGTAGAGGAACCGGTTTCAAATAAAATATTTTCTTGATAATTTTGACCCTTAACGTTTTTAGATTTAAAAAGAAATTTTTCTTCATGAAAAATTGTATCACCTGATTAAAAAATTATTTTGTTTTCAATATCAAAAAATCTATAGGCTGTACTATTTGTTGCATATCCAAGAAAAGCACAAGTGGCGACTTTCACACCTAATTTAGGTCTTTTAGGATCCACAAGTCTAACAAAAACTAGACAACCCCAAACCCTTAAATATCTCAAAATTGGCTTATGCCCTCTCAACAACTCAAAAGGTGTAACTTTTGTTTTTTTATGTGGCACTTTATTCATAATATAATATGCAGTTAAAATTGTTTCTTCCCACAAATTTGAAGGAGCACCTGCTTCAATTAGCATTGTTTTTGTTAAATCAGTTAAAGTTCTATTTTTGTTTTCGGTTACACCATTAGATGCAGGTGAATATGGTAGAGTAGTTTCATGGATTATTCCCAAAGACTGAGCAAACGAGTTGAATCCAAAAGATTCATACTCCCAGCCTCTATCACTTCTATATCGTTTAATCTTTTTATCAAATTAATTTTCAACTTCAAGAAGGAATTCTTTAAATTTTTCAAAAGCATCACTTTTATTTTTCAACAATTATACATAAGTGTATTTTGAAAAATCATCAATAAAAGTGATAAAATATCTATTTCCACCACGTGTTAAAATTTCTTCAAATTCACATAAATTAGTGTGAATTAATTCTAGCACTTCAGTATTTCTCACCACACTTTTCTAAGGCCTTTAGTTATTTTTGTTTGACTGCAAACTTCACATTTCTCAAAATTATTTATTAGCTTGGGAATTAATCCTAAACTACTCATGGCTCCTACATATCGACTGTTAATATAACATAGACAAGCATGCCAAAAATTCATAGAAGATAGCATGTAAACAGAAATATGTGCTTTCTTATTCTCAACATTTAATTTAAAAATTCCATCACATGCATATCATTTTCCCACAAATATGCCTTTTTTAATGATTACATATTTGGTAGATTCAATGGTTTGCTTGAAACCAACTTTGTTAGCAAATAACTCGACATCAAATTTTTCCTCATGGACGGTGTGTACAACATATCTTTTAAAACAAGCACACGTCCAGAGGTAAATTTCAGCTAAACATCCACACACCCGAGCACCTTGGTTAAACTGGAGTCACCAAGCATAACAGTCCTCTCCTCATTAAAAGGAGTAAAATCTTGGAACCAATCTTTATCATAGCAAACATGCCTATTGGCACCAGAGTTTGCCCACCACCCTTCCACAGATTGAACCATAAAAATATCTGTAATCATAGCCACAAATGGTTCCTTAGTAACATTATCCTGTGGTCGAGACTGTTATTTCTGAAATTTGCAAATTCGAGCAATATGCCCACTTTTCCCACACACTAAACATGTCACATTTGTCAAATCTTGTGAAGGGGGTTCTTGGTTCCATTTTTTTGTCTCGGGTAATTTTTATTTTGTGGCGTTCTAGTATTTTTCCAGATTTTCTTAAGTAGCTTCAAGTGACTATTTTTATGAAATCGACCTTTAGGTAAAGTATTTTTAGAAGTTAAATTTACCTTTGCAGTGGAATGCTCTTGTGTCATAAGCGTATCTTGTCCTCGTGCTTCCTTCTCTACCCAAATCCGTGTGATTAGAGTCTCCAGGGACATCTCTTTTTGCTTATGACACATTGACTTCTGAAATTCCCTCCAAGATGATGGTAGTTTGTCAATAATACTGCCATAACAAGATTGTCTCCAATTTTGATGCCTTCGGATCTAATTTCAGCCACTAGCATCAGAAAATCTTGAACTTGCTCCACCACTGATTTTCCATCTATCATTTGATAGTGGAAAAAATGGCTTGCAGCATATTTTTTAGCGCTTGCCTATTCAGTGTCATATTTATTCTGCAAGGCTTTCCAAATTTTCTTGGCAGTGATATAAGTAGTATCATAATAATCATAAAATTGATCCAAAAATCAATTCAAAAGATAATACCGACATTTATACTCATCTGTGTTGTATTTCTCGATTTTTTCAAGATGAACAGCATACTCCTCGTCAGTCATCTCTTCAATGGGGATTTTGTTTGGGTTTTTCTCGGTCAGAATATAAGCCACCTTGAGGAGACTGAGGTAGAAATGGGCTCCCTTGAACGGGAAAGGCTTGTTGAGATTGCCGGTATGCTTGTTGGGCTTCTCAAATACTAGCTCCATGAATTTTACTGTTTGAATATCTTTAAAATTGTTGGTGATAATTACAAATAAAACACCAGAAAATACAAATAATAAAAATTACAATAACTATTGTAAGGGCTGAGGCGTAGGAAATTCGCTCTCTTTAAGGAGATTCAAGCACTTTGCGGTTAAGCAAAGCTTTACACCGGTACAATAGAAAAAAAAACCTTGACTTGTCTCCTCTAGGATACAACAGCCTGACTAAGTCGTATGGTTCACCAATACTGCACAATTGGTTGAACCCAAAGTTTCATCACATACACCTTTTATTTCTCTACCTGATAATCTCTCAAATAAGAAACTAGCAAACGCTTCTTTTTTGTTTTTTAAAACTCTAGATTTCTCCCTCCCTTGATTTTTATTTTTTTTTTGTAAGTTACAAACACTACAAGAAAAAGCACTATTGGCAACTAAAAAATCACATTTCGTCGCTGAAAGTATAGCATTTGGCGACTAAAAATGCATTAGTAGCCAAAAGTAAAGATTTTTGGCAACTAAAAAAATTTAGTAGCTAAAAGTATAGGTTTTGGCGACTAAAAATCTGTTTGGTCGTCGATATATGGCTTTAGTGACTAAAAAAAATTTAGTAGCCAAAAGTAAGGCCTTTTGGCGACTAAAAAAATTTTAGTAGCCAAAAGTGAGGCATTCAGCGACTAAAAATCTGTTTGGTCGCCAAAAGCGAGGCTTTTACCGACTAAAAAAATTTTAGTAGCAAAAAGTAAGGCCTTTTGGCGACTAAAAAAAAATTAGTAGCCAAAAGTGGTAATTTTATCGCAGGAATTTTTTTTTAACGACTAAAAAATAATTAGTAGCCAAAAGTATAGAATTGGCGACTAAACATGATTTTAGTCGCCAAAAGTGGTGTCCTTTTTTTTTCTACTAAATAATTTATTTTTATATAAATTATGTTCAATAAAAAATAATTATGTTTATATATATACTTTGATATTAATACGGCTCCAAGTACTATATAAATAATATATGTTGCATATATAATCATATGATGTTATGGAGGCGTAGTGGAAGGAGTTTGTTGTATAAGGTTGATGGTTTGAATCTCCACAAGAGCCAGGTGTAAATTTTTTTTTTTCGGAATGAGCTTTTGGCGACTAAATCTGTTTGGTTGCCGATTCCTTGACTTATTGGCGACCAAAACATTAGTCGGTAAATGTATAATTTAAAAAAATATAATTGACTTTAGTCGCCAAATGTATAATTTAAAAAATATAATTAACTATTGGCGACCAAAGTTTTAGTCGCTAAGACTTGCTTTTTGGCGACTAAAAGTTTTTTAGTCGCCAATATCTTTCTCGACCGTTTAGTAGCGACCAAACCGGCGACTAAAAAATTTAGTCAAGAAAACTTAAAAATCGACTTTTGGCGACTAAAAATTTAGTCGCCAAATGTGTTTTTTCTTGTAGTGAAATAAGAGAGGTGAAAGGTTCAATTTATAGGAGAAGAAAACTTGGTCACCAAGAAAAAGGGTTAACTTGGAGGAAAAGTGTAGGAGAGAAAACTTGGTGAGAAAGTTCCTTAGAAGAGAGGAAACTTGGTGAGAAAGAAAAAGAAAATTTGGAGGGAAAGAAAAGAAAATCAAACCTATAACACATTATAATATTAAAATATCTTTATTTTTTAAAACTCCAGATTCTTTCTCATTTGAGTTAGTTAGTTAGTTTGTTTGTTTGTTTGTTTTTTTTTTTTTTTTTGGTTACAAATAAAAGAGGTGAAAGACTTAATTTATAGGAGAGGAAAACTTGATTATCAAGAAAAATGGTTAACTTGGAGGAAAAGTATACGAGAGGAAATTTGGTGAGAAAGTTGAGAAAAAAAAAAATGAAGGGAAAGAAAAGAAAAGAAAATCAAACCTATAACATATTATAATATTAAAATATCTTTTAGCATCTTCTTTATGAATAAATAAAATAAAAATAAAATTAATACGGTACATGAATAAGAAAGACAACCAACTACAAACTACTGTAAAACATGAATAAAAAAAAACAAACAAACAACAAACTAATATAAAATTTTTCTACGTAGAACAAGCAATCAAGACATTTTTAGAACATTTGGAGTGGTAGGAAATGAAATGCACTCGTATTAATCAGGGATTAAATTATTATTTTTTCCTGAAGAAGCTTAGAGTCACTTCGAATTTTATGGGTTGATTGCAAACAGTGGAAAGAACAAAACTTGTGACTTTATTGTTGTGATCTAAGTGTTAGTTTGAAAATTAATTTTTTATAATAAATTTTTATTTTATTTTATTTATAAAAAGACGTATAAAAAAATAATAAAGAATGATTTAAACTTTTTAATTTTTATTTTATTTTGTTAAAAATTTAACTTTCCCAACCAGGCCTACATCTAATTTTAAGCTTAACTTAGATTTACTATTTTCAATAATTTTCTTAATTATTTGTTATTTCATGTTTTATAATGATTGAGATTGTTCAAATATAAATATGGTGAATTGCACTAACAGTCCATATAGTTTGGGACTCGTGTCACTTAGATCTCTAACTTTTCAATTGTGACACATTTGATTTTGAATTTTAAACCTTGAATCTTGTTCCAAATAAGGACAATTAAAAATACCATTGATCAATTTCAAAGGCAAAGTCGTCAATTTGATAAAATATATACTAATTTGACAAAAATAAATATCAAAAATATATTTTTGAATTTTTTAAAATTATTTCTACTCACCAAAGATAAAATTATATAAAATTGATAAATCTTTTACACATTTGTTTTTTTTTTTACTAAATTAATTTTTATTATGTGTTTGGATGATGATCATGGGTTGTTGTTTTTATTTTGATTAAATTGGTTTCTATTTCTCCAAAGTCAAATATAGGGACAATTTTGATATCATTATTAGGGCTGAGCAAGGAATCCGTGAAATCCGTAATCCGATCCAGTCCAGTCCAACCCGATAGGTTTGGATTGGTTTTTTGAATCCGTGGTTCGGTTCCGGATTGAAAAATTAAAAATCCGTAGTACACGGATTGGTTCCGGATTCAACCCCACAGTTCCGGATTGGAACCGATCCGGACCATATACAAATAGTATATATTTTTATTATATATCCTCTCCCATAGTATCTTCTCTTATTCTATATAAAATCTAAACTCAAACCTAAAACCGTTTAATATCTTTTTTTATTACTTTTGTTTGTTAGTTTTTAGTTTTAATTTGTAATGGTCTAAATACTTATGGTGAAACCAGTTTTCTTATGGTTGTTTAAATTCTAGCACAGCATGTCGCTATTATAGAAATAGATGTTGCTATTGTGGAACTAATATAGCGCTATGTTTATGTTTTTATGAAATTAAAGTGTTATATATATTTTTTTGTTATTTAATTATGTGAATTCGTGGTCCTAAACCGATCCAATCCGCTTTTACACATTTGTTTTTTTTTTTACTAAATTAATTTTTATTATGTGTTTGGATGATGATCATGGGTTGTTGTTTTTATTTTGATTAAATTGGTTTCTATTTCTCCAAAGTCAAATATAGGGACAATTTTGATATCATTATTAAACCAATCCATTAAATCAAAAAATCTAAAACTAAAAATATTTCATATATTAAATATATCAATTACACATTAAAAGCCTAGCAACCATCTATTACATGATCATCATCTAAACATGTAATAAAAATTAATTTTGGTAAATAAATAAATGTGTAAAATATTTATCAATTTTATATAATTTTATCTTTGGTGCGTAGAAATAATTTTTTAAAATTTCAAAAAAAAATTTTGACATTTATTTTTGTTAAATTCGTTTATATTTTATCAAATTGACGATTTTGCCTTTGAAATTGAGCAATGGTATATTCAATTGTCCTTATTTGGAACAAGATTCAAAACGCATGGTCAAATGTGTCACAATTAAAAAGTCAAGGAACAAAGTAACACAAGTTTCAAATTATAGAAACCGTTAGTGTAATTCGCCGATATAAATAAGTAAGGTTACCAAATCATTCATAATTGATAAGTTTAAAAAAATAAAAATAAAAATCAATTCAATTCAAGAGTTTGCTGTGTTTCTTGAGCATGTTATTTAGCAATTTATTTTCAGTGTATCAAATAAATAAATAAATAAAATAAAGAAAGAAAAGATAACAGTCCTATTGTCCAAAAAATAAATTAATTAATTGTTGAAACAATTGTCTTTATAAAATAATTGAATTGTATTAGAATCCTAGTATTCAAAATTCGCACTCAAATCTATTTTTGTTTGAGTGGGCATATGAAAATGGAATCCCAAAATATCATCATAACCTATAATATTCTAAAAAATATTTTGTCCCCGCTTTACCTTTGATATTTATAATGACTTTTTAATTTTTAATTTTAATTTTTGTTAAAACCCAACCGGCCTACATCTAATTTTAAGCTTAACTTAGATTTACTATTTTCAATAATTTTCTTAATTATTTGTTATTTCATGTTTTATAATGATTGAGATTGTTCAAATATAAATAAGTAAGGTTACCAAATCATTCATAATTGATACCAAAAAAAAAAAAAAGAAATTCAATTCAATTTATTTTCAGTGAATCAAATAATAAAGTAAAATAAAGAAAGAAAAGATAACAGTCCAAAAAAAAAAAAAAATTTGTTGAAACAATTGTCTTTATTAAATAATTGAATTGTATTACAATCCTAATAACATATTGAAAATTCGCACTCAAATCTATTTTTGTTTGAGTGGGCATATGAAAATGGAATCCCAAACAATCATCATAACCTATAATATTCTAAAAAATATTTTGTCCCTGCTTTACCTTTGATATTTAAAAGGAAAACGAATAAAAGAACATCAAAAAAAAAAAAAACCAAGACAAGATTAATGTTGTGTTTGGTTGCGAGATTGAAGAAGGATTTGGAAAGAGAAATAAAAAAGGTAAGTGAAATGTGAATAAAACATACATATATTTCACTTAGATTTATACACTTTTTTCCTTTCTCTTTTTAAATTCATCTTCAAATCTCTAACCAAACACACTATAAATCAAAACTTGAAGGGAACTTATGGTCAACATTTTGGAAGATCGGACGGTGGAGGTAGCAATTTTTGATTGCGACGCTGTCCATCCATTACAACCCAAGCCATCTTTAATCCCCAACTTGTATGAACTTCTAGGTGACAGTGCATGAACCACACTCCTATTAAAAAATGATATATAAAATTAATAATTATTAAAAATATTACCTATTTCAAAAAATAAAATTACATTTAAAATCTAAAATGTGCATCATATATCCATTTTGAATGCGGTTATAAATTGAACTTTCATTTCTGTTTTTGTTTATAATTTTTTTAAATTGTTTTTACATAGAAATGAAAATGATGGATACTTTCAAGGTTTTCATTTTTGTTTTTTTTTTTCAAAAACACGAATAACAAAAATAAAAATAAAGGAAAAAGTTAAGGATCATGAAAATTTTGTCATGAAAATGATCATGAAAAATTTATGATTTTTAGATTACCTTGATTAGTGTGTGGTACTTTATTATAAGTGTAATCTAAGAACCACAAAACTTTCATGATTATTTTCATGACAAAATTTTCATGATACCTAGCATTGCTGAAAAATAAAATACAAACACAATCAAACAGCGTCATATGTACCAACCTGGATTGTCGGCAAGGAAGCGAATAGCAACCCAACCAGCGGAGGGCACACCAACCGTGTTCCTCTCAGCCGGGTCAACCAGATTGAAGTTAGCCGGATCTTTATTCGGATCATAATTCCCAAAACCCTGACCCACAACAAAGAAATTGAATCCATGGAGGTGCAGAGGATGAGACTCTGCCCCAATAATACTAGTGCCTTGCATAACCAACTCCACACTAGTATTGAATTGCAGCACCACCACCTTAGTACCACTCGCCACCATGATATTGCTCGGCGGCGTGCCCGTATAATTGAATTTCACCGGTGGGTTCTCCGGAAAATCGGTCGTGTACACGCCTTTCGCTTGGTTGAAAAAATGTGCTTGAAGAAGTGCCGTGTTTGGCTGCACGAACGTCACATTGTTAATGGCGGCTGCCACTCTAGTGTTGTTTGGTCCTTGACATGTTTGGTTCTGAGAGCATTGGCTTATCCCTAATCCAACAGTAAAGAAAAAATGTCTATCCACATTTTTAGGAACCTTTGCCGGAAATTTAGTATTTGCTAAGCTGCGAACTTTTCTATTGAAATTCGTCGCAATTATTGTGTCGTTGAAAGCGGCAAGTGTTGGTATTAGCAGGGGAAGTTTGGGGGTTTTGGTGTTGGGGGTGGAGGGTGGTGGTGAGTGGTATTCTAGGATTCCGGCAGTGGTGGTGTTGTCAAAGGTGGCGGGGCCGGTGGCGTAAGGCCTGGCCGCGATGAGGAAGGTGGCATTGGGGTGGTGGTGTCTGGTGTTTAGGAGGACGTTGATGGTTTGGCCTGGGGTGATGAGAATTGTGGTGGTTTTGAATGCCTTTACGTAGACTGCGTCGGCTTCGACGACGGTGAGAGTGTGGTTGGCGATGCTGAAGAACAGCTCGTCGTTCATGGCAGCGTTGATGAGTCGGAGGAGGTATGTCTTCCCTGGCCTCACCTTCAACTTGAAGGTATCTACAAGAAGAGAATAGCATGTCTTTCAATTTCCTACACTCGTTCGGTTTGATAATAATTAATTTGATAAAAATAAATATATAGGCAAACTATACTAACAATTCTTACATTTTGTCTCTTTTATTATTTTGGTCAATTGATTCAATTTTTATTCTTAATTTTAGATTTTTTATCAATTCAGTCCAATTAATAACACTATTCAGTATATTTAATTTCAATTTTCTGAATTCAGTTTTTTGAAAATTAAATTTTTTATTTTGTGTTTTTTCTTGTTTTTTGTTTTTAGTGAATATTTTTCAAATTGTAAGCAATTTTTTAATTTTTTAGATGTACTTTACTCAAATATATTTTAAAAGTAAATTATTTGTGAAAAAATATTTTAAAAAATTAATAAATACACAAAAATATTTTTTTAAAAAAAGTATTGGATTTTAGTATTTTTTTGATATTTTTGGTATTTAGTGAATCTTTTAAAGATTTTTTTCACAAATATTATACTTTCTAAGTATATTTATGTTATGTGTCTAAAAATTTTAAAAATTGCTTAAAATATTAAAAAAATAAGTGAAAACAAAAAAATATGGAAAACGAAAAAGTAAAATGTTTTGAAAAGTGAATTCTGAAAACTAGAAAAAAACAGAATGATTACTAAATTAGTTGAGATTACTTCACTGAATTAAGTAAGTATGAGACTTGTCATTTATGTGCGCATTTTTTATTAAAAAATGCTAACAATTATAATCAATTCGACTAAATTAAAATAAAGTTATAAATTCATAGTCAAAATCAAGCAAATTAATAGAAACTAAAATGACACAAAAATCAAAATATAAGGACTACCGAGATAATTTGCCCTAAATACATTGAAGATACTCTTATATACCTTTAGCAGAGCAGTTGTAGAAGGGTCCAGGAAGACCGTTAATGGTGAAGGCATCAGAGAGATTTGGTGCTCCTCCTGTTTGCTGTGCTTGGTTGATCACTGTCTCAGTATCTGCTTTCCACCATTCACCTGTCGTTAAAATTTCAACCAAATCTTTTGTTAATTTAGGAATAAGATGACATTTTTTTCTTTCTTTCTTGGCACTAATTGATTAATTGAATTACCAAATATGATGGGGACTTCTTTGTAGGGATGACGAAATGGGTAAGGGACATGTGGCTTGGGGAGGATGACAATGGGTCCATAGAGAGTGGCTCTGAGCCATGAGATGTGAGCATGCCAAAACAGGGTCCCTCTTTGGCCAGTAATGGTGAAGTTATAAACATAGGAACGACCAGTCTGAATTGGGCACTGTGTAATGTATGCTGGTCCATCTGCCCACCCACTCCTTAGCTGCCTTATTCCATGCCTTCAAATTCAAGTCATATATACATCATACCACAAGATAGTCAACTACATAAATCATGAATGCTCAAAATTAAAACCAACACATATATATCTAAATATGAGTAATGATATACCTAAATAAATATCTTTATTAGGTTTTCCTTTCCTCAGATATAAAGGTTGTGACACCTTCACAAATAAATAACTGAGCACTACATAGATTTTTTCTAAAAATACTAAATAATGTCTTGTGTCTAGTGCTAAAAAATTTAGTAAGATATTTTTTTAACGTCACATAATAAGAAGTTTGTCAGTTAGTTGTCACACTATTGATTTGAATATGAAATTTCATCCCATTGACACGTGAGTGTCCCATCATGACCGCTTGAATTACAACAAAAAAATCTCACCCCATTAACACGTAATAACTTATGATTGATTTCTTATTTAGAAATATTTATTAAAAAAATAGAAAAGTGGATAATTTTGTGACTTAGGTGATGTAAAACAGTAAAAAAATATATGGCAGTGATAATTAAGATTTTTCCCTACCAATGAATGGTGATATTATTCTGAACATGGTTAACAACCTTAACCAACATTGTATCGCCTTCCCTGACAACAATCCGAGGCCCTGGAAACTGGCCATTGACTGTCACAATGCTCTTTATTTGGCACAACCTTGTCACGTTTTGCATCTTAATCTGTGTAAATTTCATGGATCAAAAAAACACAAAACAAAGCAACACGAATAAAAACAATCTTATTATAAAAACATCTAGGGATATTTATTTCTAGAATGTATATTCCCTATCCTCAATGCACTCTCAATTGCATGATATAAATGTGATTTACAGTGCATCATGAACATAGTGACAAGAATTTTGCGAAGAAAAAATGCCATGCTCGACGTACAACCCTGGAATGCATTAGTTGAACTATAATGTCATACGTACATCAAACTTATAGTGCCTGGTGATGCCTGCATGTTTTGCAAGCACAAGTTCAGCAAAAACCCAAAAAGCACTCAGCACAAAGAGTACAACCCTTGGAAAGCTAGAACACATACTAAAGTTACAAATTGTATTTGATTAAAAAGGGCTATAAGAGAAGAGAAAATGTGGGTTGATTTGAGTGATCACTCCAAAAAAAAAACTTATCAGATTGGTGCATATGGAGAGACAAGCGAAGGGAATGTGTGTATATATAGTAAGTTAGGAATGAATTATTTATATGTTTGGTTAATTAGGTGATGATCTTATTAGGATTAAATTGTCACCTAGATATAGACCCCATCTCTCTTTCTCAATATAACAAATTGCATATTGATTTGACTAAAGGCTGTTGGCCCAACTTGACATTAGAGTGCTGTCCAAGACATATTAGATTTATTAATGTTTGAATATTAATCTTTCTAACGGTTTTTCTCAATTTCCATAAATACCCCTTTTGATAGTAAGTCCTATTTTAGATAAATTACATCCTTAGTTCATGAAATTTGTAATTCTAATTATATCAATTTTATTAGGGAAAATGTACATGTTAGAGATATCTTCAAAAATTAATTGTAAATTCATGAAAAAATTTAAAATTTTATTTTTTAATGTTTATAATATTTACCACTAATATGAAAATATTTTTCCCAACATCCACTAATATGAAATTACTCTATTTTATTATTAGAATTTTAAAATTATGCTAATATAGTCTAATTGATATATGTCCTTTTAAAAATTAGACTATAATCAATGGGCAAAATAGTCTTCTCAAGGTGATTGTAGAGTTAAAGTTCAATTTGAAATGATTTAATTTTTTTTATTAAATTTTGTTCTTTATTTATATTAAATTTCTTAATAGATGTTATCAATTGAATTGAATTGACACAATATAAAAAATTAAAAGGCAAAATTGATACAATTTAAACTATAGGGATCAAATTGACACAAAAAGTAAAAAAAATACAAGAATCACTAATATAATTTGTTTTGTTTTTACCGCTCAAAAAAAAAATTTTTTTTTTTTTGGTTCACTCGTATATTTGTGGGGTTTGAATTGGCATCGCATTTGGTTGTCATGGAGGACCCTTCTCCTCTAGGCAGAAGATTGTTTGTTGCTGACATCTAGCCTTGAAATAGTTCTTGACTTCCTATTTTGGGATTTTTTTTCTTCTTTTCTTTTTGCTGTTTCTTTAAACTTTTCTAAGTACAAACGAAAAAAGAAAAAAAGTAAAAAGAAGGATTATGTTATCTTCTACTTTGAATTTGTCTGAGGACATAACATAAAATTATTTTTACATATTTTTTTTTTTTATGTTAAAAAAAAATCTGCAGATAAATAATTATTCGTTTTTTTCTCTTTTTTCTAACCCAACCAAGAGAAGAAAAAAAAAAATTTCTTTCATTTCATTTTGTCCATTCTATATATATATATACATATTCTCTCACTCTATGTGGATATGTTCCTAAATTAAAAATTTGTCCTCTATTCAGTTCCCTTCACAATTTTTCTTATCTTTGAAATATATATATATATATATATGGCAATTTAACTGGATAATGTAAAGATACCCTTTAACAAACTCTTAGAATTTGTGCCATCACTGTGAATGAGGATGCAGGCGTATATCTAGTCCATTTTTTTTAATAGGGAAGCTACTAGAGCGGTGTTTAGATCCATCCCAATAAGATAAATTTCATATTCAAAGGTCACTTCCTAAGCCAGTGAACTGGGTAAACAAAAGAAGACTTAGACCTTCATCAATAATGTAAAAAACATACCCACTTATCAATTCAGATGTCATTTTCATTTGAGAAGCAAAAAGAGGGTCATAAATGTCATTTCACATGGCATTTCCAAGTCCATGCCACAATCAACCATTGGTTTGAGTAGAAAATAAAATACCCTTTATTCCGAGTGTACAAATATTAATAATAAGTAGAGTCATGGTTGGGTTGTAGCCTTCAATCTCCTACCCATTTAACACCATCTTGTTAGTTGTCGGTTGTTCCTTATTACTCTTCTTCTTCTTCTTCTTCAACCATAACAGCTTTGATGTTTACTCATTTTTAATTCCTTTCCCTTCTAAGATATAAAAATTGCATTCTCAGAAAAACCCAATCAAGTTTTTGCCATACCAAACCATGCAGTTCAATGAATTAATACTTTATTAAGAAGAAACACATTATTGTATTTTCAAGCTTTTCCATCACTACTACAAAAACAATTAAACATCACACTTTAACAAATGAATATATCTCACTTTTATTGGAAGCGTAATAAAAAAAATTAGATTGATATTTGTATGAGAGGGTTCAAGAATGTTGTTGGAAAATTCGAAGGTTTTCGAAGATCTTTGAAGAAAATTCGAATTCTCTAGAAATGATGAGAGGCTTAGATTCTTCAATAGTCACAACTAAGAACAAAAAAGCAAAGAGAACTAAGAACACAAAAACAAAGAGATGATAAAGATAAGATATTAGGTGAAGAAGAAAGCAAAGTAGTTAGAGAGAGAATCATGACATGGCTCTCCCATGGATCTCTCACTTTCGGTCTTAATGTAGATAATGGAGAAGGGAAATTAGTTTTTCCCAAGAGTTGTCTCTCCAAAATCTATCCATTATAAAGCTATGAGTGGGTGCTATTTATAGGCACCTCATGATGTAGGATGGAGTCTATATACAAGGCACATGAGGAATATTTCCTCTAACTACCTTGTCCAAAGAGGTGACCTCTCCGAGGATGAAAAAAATCCAAAAAAGGAGATCAACTTCTCGGCGAACCCTTTTTCTTAGCCACACCTAACCAATGATCCCCAATCATCCCAAAGGGTCGAGGTAATCCTTCAGGACCCCCCGCCGCTAATATTGCCGAGTCTCATGGACCCCTCCGAGGTCATGCTACCTCGACCCGGGTATAGACTAAATTAACCGATGTGTGAATTCATCTTCATCCCTCGTCCTTAGGATTCGGTCCTTTGATCGGGCTCTAACGTCATTCATGATTCTGGTGGGTTGATCCTTGAATGCATCAAATCTGCAAATGTTCTAGGACTCACCAATGGAGCGGTTCTAAATTACGATCAAATTTGTTCAAAGCCTGAGTACCTCGGATCTCTGGGCTTGCTCAATACCCTTTTGAGTCCGGGCCCGAGTATGTCTCTAAGTTCGTAGATCTGAACCCTTTCGAGGCTTAGAGTGATTTTGTCTGTTTGATGATGATAAATCCGGGCTCATCAATGTTGGACTTTTTGATTGGGCTTCATTAATTTTAATGGGCCCGACTTGACTCCCCCGACTATCCAATAGGGTTAAAAAATATTTAAATCCCCTAAACATCACTTTTAAATTTATGGAGGAGGATTCCCTCCGATCTAGATTTTGAATTTGGAGGACACTATTTAAACTTGTGGGATCTATCACGAGTTTCGTTTTAATAATTCGAATCATTCATTTTATCAGACATTTTATATATTTTATTCATATAAAAAATTAGATCGATCTGATAATTGTAACTTACTCATTTTATTATATTTTTAACTAAAAAAATATATGTTTATTTTAAAAAGTAGAAATTATTTTGGTTAAAAATGCAATAAGTTGAATAAATTACAATTATTGGATCGACCTAATTTTGCGTGGAGATGAAATACACAAAGTATTTGATAAAATAAACAATTCAAATTATCGAAATGAGTCTCGTGGTAGGCCTCACGGATCCAACCAATGCTCTGGAGGAGATCCTCCTTAATTTATCTACATGGATAGTTACACATCAATTATTGATTTGTGAGTAAATTTAAGAATGATATTTTAAAAATATCTAACATTACTCTAGGGCCAAAAAAACTTTATATCTTTTTTTTTTCTTGTTTTTTTATTTATTTATTTTTGCTAGTGAACACTTTCTAGTTACTAAAAACAAAAAATAAGAAAAATACCATAATACCACCGAACTACCCCTGACCCATATATATTCGGGTCAGAAATTACAATAAAAACAGACCCAAAAAATTAGGACTGCGCTGCTACCTGTGAAGCCCCATAACAAGAAAGGCCCAACAACACTCTACAAGTTAACGGGGCTTACATAGGCCTCAAGGCCTTCAGCTTTTTGAAGTCTCAAAAAAGTCTCTTGAACTCGAGTGTTTTTCGAGTGACATGCTTGTGTTGACGGATTATAAAAAAATATATATAACTATGCCATTTAAAAAATTAAGACAAAATGGCTCATATGTTATCTTGTTATTGAAATGGCACACCATGTTTTACATACGATTTTTTTTTTTTCTTCTAAATTCAAGAATCATCTTAACTCAAGTTAAGTATAAATCTCAATCTTAAAAATCGTTCATCAAAATTTCTTCACCTTTTTCTATATGGATCATGCATTAATTATGTTAGGGGCATCTAAAATGATGATATGACAATGAAAAAAAAAAACATTTATGGGATTTTTTCAACACTTTTCTTAAGTAAGAAAATTAGGTAAGAAAGTGCTATGTTGCAGTAAATGTAGTTACATAAGTTTTGGGTTTGAAGCAAAGGATTTAAATCAAGAAAGTTATGAATTGTACTTTCATTTCACTAGAAAAAATAAAATAAAAGGGAAAGTGATGATAGGGATGCATTACAATATGACATCCTAAATGTTTAATTAAATATTCCGTAAGAGTAAAATAAAATATTGAATAGTGACCTTGTTCAATTCTTGATAATCGATACACAATCTCATGGTACCATCATTCTTCTTTACAAACAGTACTGGAGCTCCTCAGGGTAAGGTACTTGATCGAATGAAGCCTTTGTCCAGTAATTCTTGGAGTTGGGTCTTCAGTTCTTTCAATTCCATCATTGATATGTGGTAAGAGGTTTTTGATAGTAGTTGTGTATCAGGTTGAATTTAAATGGTGAATTCGATTTTTCAATCAATCGGGGTACCAAATAGGTCTTCAAGACAGACATTCAAAAATTCTCGAACCACGAGAAATGCATCAAGTGTGGGAGCCTCTTAACAGCTACCAAACAAGCATTGGAATGGCACCGTACAAAGCATTGTATGGAAGGAAATGTTGATCATCTCTGTGTTGGATGAAAGTTGGAGGCAGAAAATTGTTAGGCCTCGAGATCGTGCAAATAACAAGTGATAAAATTCAACTCATCCAATAGCAAATCCGTACTGCTCAGAGCTGCCAAAAAAGCTAATAACATAATAAAAGTCGATGGATGAATTTCCTTTTTATTTAAATAGTAGGGTAGTTAATGAAGTTAATTATTTATTTAATTATTTTCTTACTTTCATGTCACTTCCGTTTACGCCACTTAATTTGGTAACATAGTTAATAAGTTGCGATTCCAGCCTTAAGTATCCAGGAGTTGGGTCGTGACATACAATGATATGGACTTCAGCAACAGAGTTTTTTTTTTTTTTTTATTTTTTTTTTTCGAGACTTTAGGACAGATGTTATTTTTCATGGTGAAAATAGTTTTGTCTGAAACAAAAAATAAGATTGTATACAACTCATCCTCATTGAACATTCTATATCTTGATTGGCAATATAATGAAAAAGAAAATAGAAAGCAATTAATATATAGTCATCAAATAAAATTACAATATTGTGGCCACCTTGCATAAACAAGTTGAATTCCAAAAGTTACAGACAAAAAATGCTCCACTCTTCTACAAGGTTGAACAGCCGAAAATAATTCATGGGTTAAACCCAAAAGTGATGAAAACAGCAATTTAGCTTAAATTGAAATGAGAAAAAATAAAACAAAATAAAATAAAATCAAGAAAATGTTTTGCTCATATAGTGGAACTCAGAAGTGATAGAGTTGAGATCAACATTTGGGGAGATCTGCTGGTGGAGGAGGCAGCTTTTGATTAGGAAGCTTTCCATCTAGGACCAGCCACGCCATCTTCAATCCCCAGCTCGTGTGGACTTCTAGGTGACAATGCATAAACCATACCCCTATAAACCACCACAAATTTGTCCTTGTCTATCATTTTTGTCATTTTGAGCAATTGCTAAACAAATTAGTAAACACAACAAAAAAATTTAACTTTAAGTAAATTATAAACTTTTTCCTCTAACTTTTACATATATTTTACTTTTGATATCTTATTTTTTTTAATTGTAATAACTAAGTTCTCAGATTTTAATTCATATTTTTAATGTCATTTACAGTTAAAATTTTTTATAGAAAGTAGTCATGTAAAGTTTACTTGAGCACGCTTTAGAGCAATAGAGAAATGATAGAATGGCATAAAGATGACATTGAAAAATGGGTTAAAGTTTAAACACTAAACTATTGTAATTAAAATATGAATGATCTATTACTCATATTTTACCTATCATTCATAATTCAACTTTCATTTAAATTTTAAATGATAGAATAACAGAAAGATTGCATTAAAAAATGAGTTAAAGTTTGAACACTTAATTATTGTAATTAAAATATGAATGATCAATCCACATAAAAATTAGGGTAAAAAAAATATAATTAATTTGTGAAAAATTGATGCAACATGCAAATTCTATAAACCTAAATTTATATAAACTTTTACAAAATTTGTGTGTTTAGTACTCAAATCATTAAATTATGTTTTCAGATTCATAATAATTCATAGTGTATAAACAAACAAAAAAACAAAAAAAAAAAACAAAACAAAACAAAAAAGAAGAGAGATTTTGAGATGGTGAATAGAGAATCCTTGCTCCTAATGTATTAGCATTGCATTGGAATGCATAAATAAAACTACTATTATTTATACATGCCATTAATATAGTGATGAGATATCACGTGATAAATAAAATAAAATAAAATAAATGTGATTATTATCTATTGTGATTCTCTATACCTGGATTATCTGCCAAAAATCGAATGGCAACCCACCCTCCAGCGGGCACACCCACCGTATTCCTTTCCATAGGGTCGACAAGATTGAACATTTTAGGATCCTTATTCGAATCAAAGTTCCCAAAACCTTGTCCAACAACATAGAAATTAAACCCATGAAGATGAAGAGGGTGACTCTCAGCTCCAAGAATGCTTGTATCCTGCATAACCAACTCCACACTAGTATTAAAAGGCAGCACCAAAACCTCAGTCCCATTACCCACCATAGTATTGTTCGGAGAAGTCCCTGTATAGTTAAACCAATGTGTCGGATTGATCGGAAAGTAAGGACTATAAACCCCATTCGATTGCCCGAAAAAGTGAGATTGTAAGAGAGCCTTGGTTGGCATTACAAAAGAGATGTTATTCACTGAAGCTGCAAATTTAGTTCCATTTGGACCTTGACATGTCTGGTTTTGGTCACATGGGTTCGATCCCAAACCAACTGTGAAAAAGAAGCGATTATCGACATTTTGAGGCACATTAGCAGGGTATTGGGAACTCGCTAAGCTACGAAGCCTGCTTGTGAAGTTTGCGGCGAAAGATGTGTCATTGAGAGGAGGGAGAGTTGGTTTGAAGAGTGGAAGCATTTTTTGGGAGATGGATGGGGATTCGTAGTATTCGAGGATAGCAGCGACAGTGGTGTTGTCGAAGGTGCCGCTGCCGGTGGCGTAGGGACGGGCGGCCATGAGGAATGTGGCGTTGGGGAAGTAGGGTTTGGTTTTGAGAAGGACGTTTGTGGTCTGGCCTGGAGTTATGAGAAGTGTTTTTGTTTCGAATGGTTTTATGTAGACCGCGTCAGCTTCGACCACGGTGAGTGTGTGGTTGGCGATGCTGAAGAAGAGCTCATCGTTGAGTGCAGCGTTGATGAATCGGAGGAGGTATGTCTTCCCTGGCTTTACATTCAGCTTGAACGTGTCTGCCAAGCAAGAGACCATTACAAAGTGTAATAAATATGTATTGAAAAATGGTATTATCATGTAATAATTAGTGTATTAATTAGTGTACTAATTGATAATGTGACATAATTTAAGATGTTTTGATATTTGTAATTTGTATAATGAGTGAGATCAATAATAATGTCATAATTAGTGTTGATATACTAATTAATACATTAATTAGTACATGTAACATCACTCTTATCATAAAAATTGATTACAAAATTTGATCACCACTCATTGGTGAGGTCCACAATTGTGGAACTCACCGTCTATGAGTCGTTGGTAACCAATTCTAAAATCAATTTTGATAATGGCAGTAGAGTTCTATATGTATATCAATGAATCTTAATTTATAAACTCACAGTGTTACACTACAAGAAAAAACAGATTTCGCGATTAAAAATAGATTTTTTGTCACTGAAAGTAACAGAATTGGCGACTAAAATGGAATTAGTTGCTAAAAGTGAACACTTTTGGCGACTAAAACAGTTTAGTAGCCAAATGTAGGGGTTTTAGAGACTAAAAAAATTTTAGTAGTCAAAAGAGAAGGTTTTTGGCGACTAAAAAATAGTTTGGTCGCCGATTATACGTGTTTTACTGACAAAAATCAATTTCGTAGCCAAAAGCGAAGTTTTTTGGCTACTAAAAAAATTTAGTAGCTAAAAGTCAAGAATTGCCGACTAAAATGCGGTTTAGTCGCCCAAAGTAGAGGTTTTGGCGACTAAATTTCAGTTTAGTCGCCAAAAGTGAAGGTTTTTCGGCGGGAATGAATTTTTTTAGCGACTAAAATAAAATTAGTAGCCAAAACTATACAATTGGCGACTAAAAAATAGATTTAGTCGCCAAAAGTGAACTAATTTTTTTTTAGTAAATAATTTTTTTTTTTGCATAAATTATATTGAATAAAAATAATTATTTTTATATATATAGCTAGATATTAATACGGGTCAATATAATATATAAATAATATATGTTGCATATATATTCATGTGGTGTTGTAGTGGCATAGTGGAGAGAGTGTGTGGCTAAAGGTTTAGAATCTGGCAAAGGTTGGTGGTTCGAATCTCAAAAAAAACAAAAAAGTTGGTTTTTTTTTTCTTCACGGAAGTACCTTTGGCGACTAAAATTTTAGTCACCAAAAGTATTTATTTTGGGCGACTAAACGGTTTAGTCGGTGATTCATGGACTATTGGCGACTAAAAATTAGTCGTTAAATGTGTGATTTTAAAAAGTGTAAATCACTATTGGCGGCTAAATCGTTGGTCGCTAAAGAGCTATTTTTTGCCGACTAAAAAAATTTTAGTCGCCAATACCTCCGGCGACCATATATACGCGACAAAACGAGCAACTAAAAAAATTAGTCACTGAAAGTAAAATCTCGACTTTCGGCGACTAAAAACAGACTTTTGGCGACTAAAGTGCTTTTTCTTATAGTGTTACATTCAGTCTATTCGAGAGAAATCATGTATATTTATATATATACAGTGAAGTTGTAATCAATATGACATCGAGATTAAGTTTTTATATGGTGATACATCTTGAATAAATTTAGAATGCACATAAATTTTCTAAGTACTTTTCTATGTATGAATTTTGTAAATGTACATTGTTTTATACCTTTCTTGGAGCAGTTATATAATGGCCCTGGAAGTCCATTGATGGTATAAGCATCAGAGACATTTGGGCCACCACCTGTTTTCAAAGCCTGGCTAATCACAGCCTCAGGATCAGCATTGAACCACTCTCCTGCAAATCAAGTATTACAGTTTTGTGTTCAAAAGTTTATACAATCATGGTGGGACAGACAATGGATTTCAATTGCATTAAACTTTTGCTTAGTGAATTACCAAAGATGATGGGAACCTCCTTGTAGGGTTTGGCAAATGGGTAAGGGACATTATGTTTGGGACGGATGATTATAGGACCATGGACAGTGACTCTTAACCATGAGATATGGGCATGCCAAAAGAGAGTTCCCCTTTGCGCAACAATGGTGTAGTTGTACACATAGCTCTGGCCAGTTTGTATGGGGCATTGAGTTATGTATGCTGGTCCATCAGCCCAACCGGATTGAAGCTGTCGAATGCCATGCCTGTTCCAAAACAAACACGTTAGCACTCCAGAATACAAGTAGTCTAAGAACACAGAAATCGAACTCAAAACTCAACAAAGATATCGCCAAGGTAATAACAGGCCATAATACCAGTGAATGGAGATATTGTTTTGAACATGGTTAACGACTTTGATAAGAAGTGTGTCCCCCTCCCTAGCCACAATGTGCGGTCCCGGAAACTGCCCATTTACTGTCACTATGCTCTTGGTGTGGCACAATCTTGTCACATTTTGCAACATTATCTAGAAAAACATTCCAAAACATCAATGAATAATCCATATACTATAATAACACGACCAATAAGTACATAAAACATAAATTTTTTCAGAAAAGTGCAGAGAATGCAATGCTGGCAGTACTGAATTATGTTATGTGAAAAATTTCACACATACATCAAATTTGTAATGCCTTGTTACACTTCCGTCCTTGGCTATGACAAGGCCAAGGAAGAGGCAAAATGTCGCCATTGCGAAGAGAACTCTCAAGAATGGTGTTGATTGAAGAAGAGTAGCACCCATTTTTGCAATTGTTTGACAAGGTCAGATAGTCTAAATGGGTGAACTCTCAACGTTCTCGAGTGGTATCCCAAAGCTCATGGGGTTGTCTATATATATATAGATGTTTGAAAAGGGTGTTTGGTTGATTAGGTAACTAGACATAGATAGATATTAATTTGAATAGAACAAGGCACAACATAGCTTCAAAAGCTATCTAGGTTGGACCGACTGTTGTTGGAGAATAACTTTAGAGTGTTGTCAAAGAAAATCTATATTTTTTTATTTTACTATTTTCTTTTTATGTAAATTCTTTTACTTTCTAAAAAATGCTATTAATATGATTCAATTTGCAAAGACAACTGGAAATGATTTTGACACTAAGTATTTTTTGATTTTTTTTTTCTTGCAATATTTGATGATACAACACTTCATCTAATCTTACCAAAATCACCCAACACTACAACCATCTGTTGTACCTAAAGTGTAAATATTTTGTTTAATTATGTTGTTTTAGGGCATATGTGTGCGCACTATGGTCAAACAAGCTTTTATTTTTAAATTTTTTAAATGCATATCTAGCCAGCCTTGGTCTAGAAACATGCAAGGATGGAAGCACTATAAGAAATTAAGACAAAAATTTAGAGATATAATTATTTTTTAAGGATAATATTTTTGTCACTAAAAGTATTATTGTTATTTTATTTTAAGCGACAAAATTAGACATTTAGTGATGAATCTAAAAAAAAAAAAAAAAAACCTTTTTGGGACCAACTTGTTTTGTCCCTAAAAGTGCATTTATTAATGATATTTTCAAAATTTTGTCTCTAAAAGTTTATTTGTTGACTTTGCAGAACGACTTTTTAGCGATTGTCCTCGCGACAACTGAAATTAGCCCTAAATATTTTTTGTAACAAAATTTATACTTTTAGAGACAAAAATAACTTGATTCCTAAAACTCTTATATGTTATTGTGAAAGGTTGCATTAAAAATAAGGAAAATTGATACATCTACAAGATTAAGTTTTATTAGGGTTCATTTGGCAATAACATAAATAAGTTGTCTATTAGCTTATTAACTTATTTGGATCACTTCATCTTTCTACATTTATACATGTCTTTCCGTAATAAGTAAAAAAGACAGCCTATGAGCATGATTTTAGGTAAAGGGGCAAGAATACTTCCAAATACTTCTATCTTTTTGTTCTAAATCACTCACAATTATTTAGTTATGTTAAAATTTCGAAATGTAAGAATCTTGAGATATCATCCAATGATTGTGAATATTTTGGGGACTAAAAGATTTATGATAAATAATTCAATGCCTTGGGAGAGGGATTTTTACTTTCTCCTCAAAATCTCTATCCCTATGTAAAAATTCAGTATGACAGCATCAATGATATATAATATCATCATTCAAGTATAAATCTACAAACGAAATAATGAACCTTACTATTTAGATGTGACTATCACATCTAACACAATTAGGCAACAAAAATCTGCATCGTGTAGGTTTTTTTTTGCCTATATGATGGTTTATTACTGGAGAATGATAATACCACGTGTCAATGAAAACATAGTATGATTGTTGTAGTCTTTCTTCTTCCCTTTTTTATTTTTTGCGTCCTATCCTTTATCACATGTACGTCTTACTGCACGATGTGCCGTGGTTTTCATTGTTAAATTTAATAATTAAGTTTCATTTTGTAATAAAACTAAATTTTTACAATGATTGGTGCATGGATATTAAAATGAAATTGTCTCTAATAGAAACATCAAAAACTTGATCATAAACTTGAAATTTTTCTTTGTTGATCAAAAAAAATAAATAAACTTGATTATTGGGGGATCAAGAAAATCAAAGGTATTCTCTAAACGTCTAAAGTGCTCATGTGAAGTGTGGGGATATATTTTCTGAGTCCCAACACGTGGCCAAGGTGACGCCGACGTGTCAGCCGAGGTGCCACGTGTCAGGGTTATGACGCCGAGGTGATCTCGGCAAGGCCGAGGTTATCTCCGAAGATATCGGAATCCGGGATAAGCAGATAAGGGACAAGAGTCCTAAAATGAGGAAGGACTTTAGTATGGATAAGGATAACACTCTTAGGGAGTTTATCTTTATCTATTGGAGAGGTCCAGGATAAGCACCGAGCAGAAGTCCACTGAAACTAGGCTTCTATGGAGACTAGGATTGAGGTAACTATAAAAGAAAGGCACTCCCGATGGGTCTAAGGTATGCAATTTATATTCTAAACAGTGAGTTTAGCACTATTGATTATCTTTGAGAGATGTACTGACTTGATCGTCGGAGCGCCCCCGGGTGGACGAACCACTGTCGGAATCTTCTCTTTTTGTTGCAGGTCAGCCAGGTGTCATCTATTCTGCCAGTGCTCTCCAGCTGAATACTGAGTTGGCAGTGCGGTCGGAAAATCACTCACACAATTTGGCGCCGTCTGTAGGAAAGAAAGGAGAATAGATGGCCAGTGATAGACAGAAGGATAAGGTTGGAGACGAAACCCCTGCTGGGAACGGTAAGCACGTTGATCCTAATGTGGAGGAAGATGGTCGTAGTGAGGAGACTCAGAACCAGAATCACGGCAAGAAAGACGTTAACCAGGATGGCGACGTGCCAAAGAAACCAGATAGAAGCGGATACTACAACGAGGACGACCTCCAAGTATGGAAGGATAGATGCCTGCGGAGGGACAAAGAGGTGAAAAAGATGGCAAACAAATTGGCAGACCTGCAATCGGTCGTCAATTTTATAATGCAAAGTAATGTCATGCAGCCACCATACCCGCTGCAGGGCACGCCGATTCTAGCGGCCAATGCCCAGAAGGGAGGGCATAAGCAAATCCCAATAGCCCCTCAGCATACTAGAAGCGAAAAACACTCTCACCGGCCTTCTAGGGAGGTTGGGCGAGGAGAGTCGAGGAGAGAAGAGTCGCAGATGACGCATCGCGCCAAGAAGGCTGACCCCAAAGAATATCGGCATGTTCAGGGACAGGCGCTCTGCTTCAACACAACTCACGGAGAAATATCGAAAAGGACCCACCATGAAGCTAAGAGTAGTATACCGAAAAAACTGAAGGCAGGAGATAGCCGAGCCCCTGGGCGGAGTAAAGAAGACTTGAGAGATTACCTCAAGAGGAAGCAGCAGAATGCCAATGCCGAGGTAACTTACCCTGATAAGCCGAGAACACCATTCTCAGTGGAGTTAGACAAATTTGAGGCTCCGAAGAGATTCAGTATGCCGAGGTTCCAAATATACGATGGTAAGTCAGATCCCAACTTTCACTTTGGATTATACTTGAACTCAATGGCATTATATAGTGGGAACGAGCCGTTGCTCTTCAAAGTGTTCCCCTCATCCTTCGGGGAGATTGCATCAGATTGGTTTCACAAACTACCGAAGGGAAGTGTGAAGACCTGGGAAGGCCTGGCCGAGATGTTTGTGGCCAGGTTCGTGACAAACAAGCTGCAGCCATTGAGGGTGGACGCATTGATGGCTCTAAAGTTCAGTAAGGATGAAGGCCTTAGGGCCTATGCAAAAAGATACTATGAGGTGTTCAACCGAATACCGGAGTGTAATCAAGAGGTGGCGGTCATATCTTTCAAGAACGGCCTAAAAGACAACTGTCCACTACGAAAATCTTTGGCAAAGACATTGCCAAAAAGTATGGAAGAGCTCATGGCGAGAATCGAGAAGTATGCCAGAGCCGAGAAAGACATGTCAGGGACTAAGGAAACAAAGCAAGAGAAAGGAAACGGCTCGCTGAAGCGAGGCCGAGGCAACAATGGATCAAGCAAGCAAGAGACAAAATTGAGGGCTACACAGGCAGTTGTAGACGTCCCCGAACGTCCCGGGAGGGAATCCCGTTTTGTTCATTGGGCTCACTACAGTTCGGACTAAATGTCACGGTCCTGTATCTAATCTCGCGGAGTACAATGCAAGATCGATGAATCATCAAAGAGTCCAAATCCGGTAAATCGTTTTAAAAAATTGATTTTTAGAAAGAAGTGCCAAACATGGACTGTTTTGCCAGATACAGAGTCACCACTTAAATATTTTATTTTGGGGGAATTTAGGAAACCCTGACTCGTACCTAAGGCCATGTGTCCGTCATCACCAAAGTTGCCTCGGCTCGACAACTTGGGTATGATTGGAGAAGGTCAGCTATGAGCACCCCCTCTCGCCAGATCCAATGATTGGCCTCTACTAATCATGATATCTTGTTTTGAAAACATTACGTGTTCCTATTCCGGTTATTAGCCTAGATTTACTCTGCTATGCGCACAGCAAACAAGTATAGACTGGGTCACCTGAATTGGAACGAAACATTTCATGTTTGTTTGTTTGAAAATGGTTTGATGGTGCTACCCACAAGTAGGCTAAGACATGAATTTTGCCACCCTCAAGTGGGCTTAAAACTTGCATTCAATGCATTGTTCCAAAACTCTCAATTGGTGAATTGTTCCAATTCAAGCAACCCAACCTTCACCCACAGGCATTCAGACAGTTATATCACATAAGCACATGGCCTCACGGCAAGCATGCTATCATGGCAGTTACTCACACACATGCAAGGATGCTAAAACATAAACACTTACCGAGTACTCCGAGCCAAAGAAAGAAGCTAATTATAAATCATGTATGAATCCTAACTATGCTAAGAATGCCTAATGCAACGCATGCAAAAATGTAACTACAATAGGCTCGGCTATTCTAAGATGGCATATGAGATGCAACAATCGATACATGTATTCAACTTGGAATTGAAATACAATGCAGTTAGCATGATACGCCGAGCCCGGTGCATGCAATACAACACTGCCCTCCTCAGAGGATCCGAATGAATAGTACAGAATAAACTAGCTAATCTAAGCTAATTAAACTAATTATTACACAACATTAATTAATTAACGAATTAACTAAGTAAGTAAGGAAACTAGCATGCAAATTAAACAAAATAGACTGCCTCAACTCTGTTCCGAATGGTAGGAATGCATGCATGCTCAAGTCGCCTTGTCAGGAAATCCATCGCAATGCCCCGATTTGCCTCTGTTTGCAACTGGTCCCAGAACACTGTACAAAGCTCCAA